GCGATGCAGGCGGGCGATGGGTATGCTCGGGGTGAGTCGTTTGTCGTGTGCCTTTGTTCCAGCTGGGGTTGCAGCGAGGGGTGCGTTTGGGATGACGCGTTTGCTCGTTCATTGTGTCGAGTTTCTTCCACCTGCATTTAAGCAGTCTCAGCCGGTGCTCAGAGATGCTGAGATCTCGGGGGTCAGGGACTGGAGAGGGAAGGGAAGCATTGCCGAGCTGTCCAGGCACACAGCTGGATTCCCTTGAGAGTTTTCAAACTGCAGGTTGCATCCTGTAAAGCAAACAGCTCCCGGCACGGAGTGCTTCCTGTGAATGTCACCTTCAGGGGTACCACAGGGTTTTTTCCCTGCTCTGCGCTTAAAACGTGTTCCCTTCTTGAAGTCGAGGTGGGGGAGACGGTGGCCCCCACTGGGTGCTGCTGAAAAGGCAGCCCCGGTGGTGTCGGTGCCAGCAGCATGCATTTTTCACAGGCATCTCCCAAAGGTGGGCAGCATGGTACGGCCCTCCAGGCCCGTGCTGGGTAGAACTGGCAGGCCCCAGGCCCAGCACCGGGGTGCAAGGCCAGGGCGCGTACACAGATCCTAGGTATGACACATGGCAATGACTGCCTTTGCTCAGCTGGAAGGAAGCAAGAAACAAAAGTGCCAGCGCATCTGTGAGGCTGCCGTGCTTTCAAGTTTTTGCAGTTTTTGCCTGACAAGATAATGTTTTTGGGCAAGAAGATGGTGCGAGTTTCCCCAGAGAAATGGGCAAGAAAAGTGCTACCTCCGCAGCCCTGGCAGGCAGGCCGGCCACAAATGTGTCTTGCACTGGCTGGGGGGGCTGCAGCGGCGCACTCCCCAAGGCGGATGCGGAGCCACCTCTGTGCGGGCCCTGTTCTTTCCCCCACAGCAGGGCCTCTCACCATGTCCGTGCTGTCACGTATTTGGTATGCGGGTCCCAATCTGCAAAGCGTCCCGTACCGTCCAGCGGGGGAGCACGGTGCAGCCTTGACCCCAGTCAGTCGCGCAGCGCACTACAGTCAAACAAGATGTAAGTGCCCGGTGTGGCAAAAGCGAGTTACCAGCGGCGTAGTGCTGGGACTTCTACCCTCCCCGTGGGCGGGCAGAGGAACACGGTGCGCCCCGCGGCGCCCCGGGAGGAGCCGCCCGTGGTGCTGCCTCCTGGGATTGGCGATGCTGCCCACGGGCGAGCGGCTCGGGCATCACACCCGCCTTCTGGAAAATAAACCACGGCTAGTGCAAAATCCAGCAGTTTTTCTTGCACTGAGAAGCCCGTTTAATTTCGCTATTTTTCCCGG